CTGTGTTCATGTGAATATTCACATCATGGTTTTGCTCAATGCAACCATGGTCACATCATTTTACTATTCACAACACATATAGTCTGTACTTGCTATCATTTACCATCTGTGACCATTAACAGTAAATTTGTTTCGAATTGAACAAACAGATGTTGCTCATCAATTTCATGGCAATATAAAAAGAGAACACGTCCACGTCAAAGACAAACTTGGACAAATAGCCAGCCCCCCCTAAAAAGTGAATATGAAAAAGGTCAACTACTAACCTAACGTCATTGGGTTAGTGAAACTGATGATGAGGTCCATGCTCTCGGATCCTCAGTTGGATTGTTTGAAGGAAACGTCATTTTGGTAGTTGTTTAATGTTTTGAGGATCAGTAAAGTTGACCTCGACAAATGCATGAAGTTCAATGGTGTTATTGTATGCGTGCTAGAGATGTACAAGGCATCTAAAGACACATTTTACATCGGCAAGAAAAATATGAATATGAATTCCACATCCTTTGTGATTTTGTAAACATTAGAATACATTGGACAAAAGAACCATAATTAGTTATTTTGATTGTACTTAATAAGATACAATGGTATGTTGTCATAATATTTGCTACTAGAAAGTCAATGTTAATATTCATATTGGTTTATGTTATTTTATAATTATGTACATATAACCATTGGTTTAATGTGACTAAATTAATTCATTTGATGTTTTGTTCGTGATGTTAACATTCATATCAACAATCTGATTGTGTATAAACATACACTTCATGTCTATGTACACACAAAAATGATGGTTTATGGTTAATGCAATGTTGATGTAGTCATATTTTTGGAGGTTAAAAATCAAATGTGAACCTTTACATTGTTGTCAGCTGCTTTACAATTGTGTGCACATAATTATTGGCTTAATGTGATTCATGGGCAATGAAATTTTAATGTGAACTTTAATATCACCATTCCATATTAGTAATTAACATTTTGAAACCATAGTGCCTTCATCTATATTCTATAATTCATTCGAACCTTCACATTCATATGTTTTAGTATGAATATTCACATCATGTTTGTATTCAAAATGAAAGTTGAGGTTTGTCGTTATGTAAGTTGATACAATGCTAATGTGAACCTTAACATCACCTTGTCACAGTGGTAATGAACACAGTGAAAACATATTCACTATTCAATATTATATTGATGTGTGAATAATATTAACACCAATTAACAACACAATGACAAATTTTCAATTCAAATTAATGTAAATATTAACATTGATCACATCATGCAAAAAAAAAAAAAACAGCCTATGTTTAGCACAGCTAATCTCAAAACCGAACACTTTATAAACATTCACATTGTTCATGCGATGTGAATATTCACCACATTCAAAAATTTAAATCAAAACTCAAACACATGACCAGCCAAAACCAATAACCCCATACAACCAACTAACCAAAATTTAATCTAGATAATAATGTTAAAAGCAAGAAACAAAGTATACAATCCTTCATATACATTCACATTCTTCTTGTGATGTGAATATTCACCCCATTAAAAAAATAGAGCCATATCTCAACCACATAACCAGCCAAAACTTATAACCCCATTCAACCAAATAAAACTTACATGTCCATCAATTTCAGAAAATGAAGTTGGAAAAAAAAAATGTAACAACATAGACTGGCTACAAAAATAGTTGCGATTCAAATCCATCTCCTATTTCCTTTTGATTCAATCCAGTCGAATGTGGGTTTCAATCAATCTACTGAACAAGGTTGTAAACCATTACCTCTGTTCCTTCGATTCAAATCCTCCTCTGTTCCTTTGATTTTCGGTTGAAATCATACCTATGACAGAAAAAAAAAACAGGGCACAAACTCTGAATCGTCATCTTCTATCCTACATGAATGAAACCCTACCGCAACGAAACACTACCACGAACTTTGTGTCGTCGTCTTCTCTCCTATAGGAACGAAACCCTACCACAACAAAAAGCAGAGGGAAACATGTATATTATTTTTTATATATAATATATATCAACATATAGACATAAGGGTATACTAGTCCAATAAAAAATATAAATCAGGAAAAAAAGACCTTATGAAATAAAAATATAAATACATAGGACTAATTAGGCTATAATTTTTCTTTGTGGACTTATTGGGATAGAATACCTCTAAATGAGATTTATCAATAAAAAACCCTATATATATATATAGATATTTTAATTTTATTGACTTTTTAACTCAAATAATATAATTTTAGACACAACTCATATGAAAAGACAACACTCTATTTGGTTTTGATTTTTTAAAAATGTGTTTTTAATATTTTTAATCCATATTTTTTAGTGCAATTTGTAAGTATTTTAATAAGTTTTTGTTTTTATTTTGTACTTTTTAAATCCACATACTTTAGATAGACTTAAGAAGTAAAATATTTGTGAAAAAAATAATAATTTAACTACACAAAATTCAAACTATACCATTTTTTTTATATTTTTTTTTGTGAGTTTAAAAATAAAATCCACAAATTATATATTGTTAAAGTTGATCAAAGTGAATCTAAAAAATAAAAATAAAAAATAAATTTTGTGTTTTTCAAATCAACTTTTGTAATAAAAAATTCAAAAACTATGTTTGGGTTATATTTTTTAAAAATTATTTTATCTCTCTCTCTAATACATATAAATTAATCATTTTTTTTTTTCTTTTTCCGCTCGCTTTTCTCATTCACTCACTGTATACATATCAATCAATCAATCAATTTTTCTTTTACACCCCATTTATTCAATTACAAAAAAATATATATTATAAATCTTGTCAAAATTAATTTCAAAATATATAACCAGACAAGTTTTGAAATTTTACAAACTCTTTTTAAAAAATTATATTTTAAAATTAATTCTCAAAATTAAACCAGATAGAGAGTATTTAAAAAAATTATTAAAAATAAGAATATATAAATTAAAAACTTAACAAATTATTTATAACCAAACATAACAAGAATGAATTATATATTTCAATACTGGAGTAATTTATTATACACCTTCTATATTATATACGTTTTTAGTTACGTCATTTTAATTTTTAATTAAGACTTATTTTCTTCTTTAATTATAATATTATTTTAAAATATTTAATTATAATTTAAATAATTAATTACTTAAAAATCTTATTTATAAATGTTATGGTCGCTTAGGTCATATTTAAGATTTTTTGAACCAATATATAGTATTTAGTAAAACTGAGAATATTATCAGTTTTTCACAATTTTTAAAACTAAAAACATTATCAAATTTGCATAATAATATTACAGATAATTGTTTCACCAATTGATAAAAAAACAGATTCTACTTATTAGTTTGATTCAACTATTCAATAAAATCGTAAACATTGATTCACTTTACTTGGTTCCCATTTTTTAAAAACAGTTTTCAGAAAATTCTACACTCTTATTTTCCGTTTTTTTTGTTTTTACTGAATTTTTTTAATATTTTATGCAAATTTTTTACTTTTTAGACACACCTAACATAAATACACCTAAAAAGTAAAAAAATTGTAAAAAAAATGTTTTAAAAATTCACTAAATACCAAAAATATAAAAAAATACAAGAATTTAGTACATTTTTTGTATTTTTATGTATTTCTTAATTTTTTAAAATATTTTTTCACAATTTTTTTACTTTTTAGACACATCTAAGTAAAGTACATCCAAAAAAGTAAAAAAAATGTTTAAAATTTTAAAAATATTCACTAAAAAGAAAAAAACACGAAAATAAAAAAACTCAATTTTCAAAAAACTTAATCCAAAAAACTCAAACCAAACACAGTGAATAGTTTTTTTCCAGTTTTAAAACTCAAAACATTATCAACTTTTTTATTTTTAATTTGTTTTTTCAATTTTGCACATCAACGTTCCATCATTATGCTCCTTTATAGACACAAAATTTTGAGTTTTGTACAAAAAAAGAATTCAATTTTTTCAACAAAAACATAGTTTTTTTTTTTTTTTTGCGTATAATTTTTTTTTAAATTTTTTAAATTTAAAAGTTGATGTTATCAAGTTTTAAAAATCAAAATAAATGTTAAATCATTATGTTCCTCTATAAATAATCATAAATGATGAACAATTATTGTTTTAAGGATAATTCTGACTTTTAAAAATTTAATCAGTGTGTTTGGTTTGAGTTTTCTGGATTAAATTTTTTGAAAATTAACTTTTTTGATTTTCGTATTTTTTTATTTTTAGTGAATATTTTTTAAATTTTAAACATTTTTTTTTTTACTTTTTTAGATGCATCTTACTTAGATATATCTAAAAAGTAAAAAATTTGTAAAAAAATATTTTAAAAAACTAATAAATACATAAAAATATAAAAAATGTACTAAATTCTTGTATTCTTTTTTGTATTTTTGGTATTTAGTGAATTTTTAAAAGAAATTTTTTACATTTTTTTTACTTTTTAGGTGTATTTATGTTAGGTGTGTTTAAAAAGTAAAAAAATTGCTTAAAATATTAAAAAAATTTAATAAAAACAAAAAAATACGAAAAATAAGAAAGTAGAATTTTTTGAAAAATATTTTTTAAAAAATGAAAACAAGCAAGGTGAATAGGATTTAAAAATGTAAAAAATCTCAATTAAGACTTAATAGAATATAAATTCATAAATTAAAAAATTTGTGTAAATGTCCCTTTAAAAATAGGGGCGTGTTTGGTTTGGTTTTGGGAGATAAATTTTCAAAAAAAATTTGAAGGAAAGAATTTAAAATTTTTTTTAGTTTATTTAGTTGTATATTTTGAAAATAGTTTTGGAATATAGGAGTTTAGAATGATTTGAAAAAATGATTGAGAATGAGAGAGGGGAAAGAAAAAGTAATTGATTGATGTGTAGCTGAGAGAAAGCGATTTTGAATTTTTAAAAAAGAAAAAATTTCAATCAAACAAAATTCTAAATTTTTTTTTCAAAAATTATGTTTTAAGACGGCATAAAATTATGTTATTTTTTCCGTTTTGATCCTATTAGCAAAAACAGCTAAGCTACCCAAGACACAACAGAGGAGAGGAGATGAGATGAGGCTCCTCCTCTGTAACTGCTCTGCTTCACTCCCACCACCACCATCCTCTCTCTCTCCCCCCAAACCTCCTCCAATTCTCCTCTTCACCACCACCACCACCACCACCACCACCACCAACTCTCTCAATTGGCCTCACAAAACCCTAATTGGTGCCCTAACTGGTGCTCTCTCCTTCTCACTTCTCTTCTCTTCCCCTTCTTCTGTCGCATTGGATTCATCACTCCTCACTCAATCCCAACCTCCTCCTTCTTCAGCTGATTACTGTCGCCAAGAAGACCAGACCGAAGACCGCTACGAGACTGCTCCTGGATTGCTCACCAACGAACGGATTGTCGATGAAGCTTGGGAGATCGTCGATGATAGCTTTATTGACACCGGTCGACATCGATGGTCCCCTGATACTTGGCTTGTAACTCTCTCTCTCTCTCTCTCTCTCTCTCTCTCTCTCTATATATATATATATATATATATATATATTTATCTCAACATTTTTATGCACACACGAAATGAAAATTTTGGAACAACAATTTTTTTAGATTCCCAGAAAATTACCCAGGAAAAGGAATCAAGACTAGTTCGTTGGCCCTGTTCGAGAGAGCTTCAATTTTTAAGCTAAAAACTGGTAATAAGAAAGCAAGCAGAAGCTAAAAGTACCATTTTTGCAGATTTCAAATAATCAATTTTTAAAAAAAAATTATTTAAGGTATTTCTGTCTAATAATATGTAAGCAAATTGTATCAAGCAGCCTGACACATATACTATCAAATTAAAATAAGATATAATCACCTGTAACAAAGGCCGCCCAAATTTCTATTAATTTGTTCGGGATAAATTTCACGGTACATAGCATTTTTGATTTTGAGAACATCAATCATTTCAATTTTTGTGCCAAAATAGTTTAAAAAAAAAAAACTTGTTGGCATTTCTTAAAATGTGGATTGTTTTCCAGAAAATAGTTTTGGAAATAGTTTGGCAAATGAGTTTTCTGTGTTTTCCCTAAAAGGAAAATGAAAAATAACGAAACACGACTCATTTTCATTATCTTGTCATTTGATGATCTTTTTATTTTTATTTATATTTACATGTACATGCACTTATATCTGCACCCTTATTACAAGGAAACATCCATCGTGCAGCACTGTCACTTCTTTTTTCTTTTGTTTTGAAAAGCTCATCATGAATTAATCAAAGCTTTAGTCTTCATTGGGAATAAAAAATGCGAGTGATGGCAATGGATCGGGTTTTTCAGGATTTTCACGATTGTTACTTTTAAACTCAACTATTTTAATGATACAATTTCATATTTTATTATAAACTTGATAGTTTTAACCTACCTACCACTATACTTTACCCTACCCAATCAATGTGCTCTCAAACCATTTATATTAAAATTGGGTTGAAACAAACACAACTGGGTTGGGAAATTTTGCCATCCCTAGTGATAGGGCTTACTTATATTAGAGAAAAAGGTGACAGGGTTTCAAAAACTGACTTCCACCAAGTGGGGTTCTGCCTTATTATAAAAGTATAGACGTATAGATATTCTTAATATTCTTAACAATTAAGTTATAAATATTTTCATAGCTTATAAACTCTAAACTTATATATAGTTGTATAAGATAGTAATAGATATAGTTATAATTGTAGTTATATTTTTTGGTACATAGGACGCTGTAGCCTAGGAATAATTGCCTGTGACAGGACTTGAACCCAGTAAGCTCCTCCCAGTGAAATGCAGGTGTTTTGGCCAATTGGGCTAGTCCAGTTGGTTATAATTCTAGTTATATTGTATATGCATATCTCTTCCTCTTTTTACATATATGTCCAACTATGCATCTATATATGAATAGAAACACACATATTTCTAGTTATATATGGCCATATATATCTTGTTATATTGCTAATATATGCACATTATATATGAGTTACAAGTTTAAGAGAAAAAACTGAATAATCTATAATATTAGATAGTGTTTGATAAAGCTGAAAATTGAAAACTGAAAATTAAGTATTGAAATGAAAACTGAATGCTGAATTTTCTAAGTTGAAAAGCTGTTTGATAAAAATTTAAGTACTGAACTAAAAATAAGTTGTTTAATATGTATAAGATTAAATTTGAAAATATTATTTTTAAATTGTATATTTTAATTTTTATATTGTGATGATGGTGGTACTTGTGGCAACAATAATAATTGTAATGAAGGTGGTGGTAGTTATGGTAGCATGATGGTGGTGATAATGGTAGTGGTGGTAGTGGCACAGTGATGGTGGTGGTAGCAACAGTAGTTGTAGTAAAATGATGGTGGTACTTATGGTAACAATAATAATTGTGATGAAGGTGGTGGTAGTTATTGTAGCATGATGGTGGTGATAGTGGTAGTGGTGGTAGTGGCATAGTGATGGTGGTAGTGGTGGTGGTGGTGGTGAGGTTGTAATTGTGTATATTTTTGAATATTTTGTGATAGTGTATGTTGGTTTTATGTTTAGTATTTATAAATTCAGTTAGAATTAAGTAAGTTTCATATTACTTAATTGTTTTTTAAATTTTAACTTACATTTTAAGAGACACTTAAATTTTTAAGTGATATTAATTATGGCCATCAAACGGACTTAATTGATTATCACTTAATACATTCAGTTTTAAGTGCTGAATCTGGTTATCAAACCCCCCCTTAAATTAAAGATTAATGGTTTCTATGACAAATAATATATTGCTTTGGGTTGTCATTTTGTATATGCACTATGCCACCTTTGTTATTAGCTCTGATTTTTTGAATCAGTTGTCTGTCAATTTGCATTATCTGGCACACTTTGGTTACCCACTATTGGACATTATATGACATACCTAGCCTTTGTGGTTCCAGCGAAAGAAAGAAGATATTTTAGCCACTTCCATTCAGACAAGATCAAAAGCTCATGATATTATCCGGCGGATGTTGGCCAGCTTGGGTGACCCTTATACACGATTTCTTTCTCCCTCTGAGGTAATTAATCCTCAATTTTTTCTTTTCTGCTTTTGTACACTCGTGTTGCTTTTTTTGTAATGCCTAGGCAATTTGTTTGTAAATGCTTTTTCTGCTGTTGTTTTGAAGTTCCACTTGTATAGCTCCATATTGAACTTCTTTGTTTACCCACTCCCATTGTTTCTGCATCAGCCTTTAATAGGTTTATTTGAATTACTTATTTCAGATTAATTTTATCTATATTTCTTGCCTTTTTTTATTTTTTATATTTTATAAATAGTTTTATTATTATTCACCTTTTATTACTGGCAGTGTTTGACATTACTCGTGTGTTGGTGTTTGATCTTTCTAGAACTTTTCTTGTGCACCTAACTATGATCCCTCGTATAAATACGTGGTTTTTACTTCTGAGCTTTTCAGTGTTCTTATTCAATGGCATATGTAACTGTCGTCATTTTTGAAAGTTCTCCAAGATGGCGAGATATGACATGACTGGGATTGGAATAAACCTTAGGGAAGTTCCAGATGAGGATGGAGCTGTGAAACTGAAGGTATTAGGGCTCATTTTGGATGGACCTGCCCATACTGCTGGTGTGAGACAGGTTTGAAGTCAAAACTTTTGGTGAAAATGCTAATATTCGTTTGGTTTATCCGTTTCTTTGTACTACCAACTGAATATTTGCTATTGAAGCTTGCAATTGATGTAATGCTACAAGTCACTCTGTTATTTGTATGACTCTTAATATGGGTGCAGTTTATTTTGGAATGAGTAATATTTACATTGTTACCTACCAAGTTTTCAGTTAACTAGTGATTTAGCTACATGTACTAAGGCCTCGTTTGGGAACAGGCTATTTTAGTAATTTTTTGACTTTTTGACTAAAATATAAGGTAAAAAAAACTAGTATGTTTGGGGTGACTTTTTGACTTTTTACGAAAATATGTGCAAAAAGTAGAGAGAAAAAGAAATCTTTGACTTTTTGGTATAGATTATAAGCTTTTTGACTTTTTTGCTTTTTTAATAATTTTTTGGCTTTTAGGCTAAAACAGCTACTTGCCAAACGAGTCCTAAATCTAGTATTTTACACTCTACAGTCATTGGCATAGTATGTGAATGCAGTTAATTCTTACTTTTTGATCTATTTAGCTTCTATGTATTCTTTTTGTAGAAATTTAATATATAAAGAGAAATGATTGTATTATTGATTGATATTGATTTCTATTACAATGATTCATGATTCCTATATATAGAAGAGGGTGAGTGTGATTGCCCCTAGTTCAAGGGCTACCTCCATTTCGGCTATGCAAGCCTCATACTTTTGCCCCTAGTTCAAGGGCTACCTCCATTTCGGCTATGCAAGCCTCATACTTTTGCCCCTAGTTCAAGGGCTACCTCCATTTCGGCTATGCAAGCCTCATACTTTTGCCCCTAGTTCAAGGGCTACCTCCATTTCGGCTATGCAAGCCTCATACTTTTGCCCCTAGTTCAAGGGCTGTTTCAAATCAAAATCACATTCTCTGCCCTGAGTTCAAGATCTGTTTCCAATCTGGATCACATCATTGCCCCTAGTTCAAGGGCTATTTCCAATTCGGCTATGCAAGCCTTACACTTTGAATGATCATTGAATACTTCGAATTCAGGTTTGAAAGCTAAGGAGCTAAGGAGGTCAGACCACGAGTTAAGAGGGATCTTGTGCTGTATAACTAATTCCAAGCATGTCTTCGTAGGACCACACAAAAACAGTTTTTGAAATCTTTTAACAAAGTGACTAATCACCCGTACTCTTACGAAGATAAGATAGAACCAATTTGGACCAAGCTAGGATCATTCTCAGTACCCACATTAACAAAAATGATTTTATTCATCAAAGGCTTAGCACACCTCTCTTCTTCTTAGTTGATCAAAATTTGCAAATCCCGAGGAAATTCTTCCTCTTTGTTTTCATCAGAGTTTTGGAAAAAGTTTTGAAAAACTTTGGTCAATGCAATGAATTAAGGCACAGAGAAGTAGGCAGACTCTATGGCATTTTGTTTTTTTGTTTTTCTGTTTATTAAAAAGAGACTATGACTCAGCAATGGCAACAGACTTTTGACAACATACTCAAAAGAAAATGACAAAGAGAACCTAGACAGGACAGAAATGTCTAGGTTAGCACTATCGAAATCAACAGACTCTGACTCATTAGGCTGACTCGAGCCTGACTCTAACTCTACAAACTTGGTGGAGTCAAACTTAGACTCAATACTCAATTCAGAACTCAGAATAAAACCATTCTCAATTTTGCTTAGTCAAAGTGTGGGCCAGCCACAACATTCAAAATAAATTGCTAGTCAAAGTGTGGGCCAGCCACAGCATTCAAAATAAAGCTCATGCAATCAACAGGTGGTCACTCCCCAATCACAGAGATGGTCGGATACCCCACAAGTTCTATTTATTTACAATGGTCGACTTTGTGGGAGATTGGAGTTTTTTATTTTTTTATTTTTTTTTATTTTTTTATTTTTAATAGATATAAATTCTATAATGGGTGCCGGCAACAGCACATGGTGGGGGGGGAAGAGGAGTCTGACAAAAGAAAGAGTGAGAATCAAGAGTGAGGCAACAGCACATGGAGAGGAATAAAGTGTGTTTTCAAAAAGGATGAGAGAGAGAGAGAGTGGGTGGCTGTTCTTGTGACAGATTGTGGCTTTGATGCTTTCAGGCGTGCAGCTTTGACAGCACGCTTTGGAGTAGAAGTTGAGTTTTTTATCTTTTATAATTGGGTCTTTATTTTTGTACTCTACAAGAATCTTGTTGCTGTAGAATTCAGCCATTTGCCAACTTTCTTCCACATGTGCAATAGGCATGCTCATACCTGTGGTCACTGGCTTCCCTGAATTAATTTCTTGAAAAACAGCAGCCATTCCTTCCTTTGGGCGTGATGATGCAGAATGAGGAGGTGCTGAACTAAAGAGCGATGCTGTGTACCTGCCTTTGCCAGCTAGCCTTCATGTGCAGTGGGCAGTCTTGGCTGCTCAGAAGAGGAAGCATTTGCTGATGGAGAAACCGACGGGTCTTGATGTGGAGGAGCTTGATCGAGCTACTGGATCGAGCACTCTGCCGACCTCACCGTGGAGGCTATGATGCTTGACTCCAAAGCCGCTGATCTCGACAAAGAGGAAGGGGTTGGAAGAAGGATACTCCAAGGGTGAAACTGGGTTTATTCTGGATGGAATTCCTCATACAAGAATCCAAGCTGAGATCCTTGACCGAATTGCTGATATTGATTTAGTGGTGAATTTCAAAGGCTCTGAGGAGTGCTTGTTGAAGCATGTGAGAAATGGAATTTATTCCACTGGTCAAGAATTTATGAGCATGGGATCTTTCAGTGCTGATGTGCAAGGTGCTTGGAAAGAGAAACTTTGTATTTATGCAGAGCAGAGCAACGCCTCCTCCACATGAGGAGTGAAGGTATGTATAGAAAACTCCAACGGGCTAGGTTGAGGTCCGGCGGGCGGCCAAGGCGAGGTTGCCGCCCGCCGGTGAAGCGAAAATACTAGGTTCTCTAACCTTGCTTTGATACCATGTTAAAATTGATTGACATATATTGTTGTACATATTACAATTACAAGGATTCCTATTATATAGGAGTGTGTTTGGGAGTAGGTGGAGAGTAGGTGAAGTGGAGGTGGTAGTGGTGTAGTGGGTTAGGTTTAGTGGAGTAGGTGAGGTGGTAGTGGTGTAGTGGGTTAGGTTTAGTGGAGTAGGTGAGGTGGTAGTGGTGTAGTGGGTTAGGTTTAGTGGAGTAGGTTTAAGTGGGTGAAGTAGGTGGAGAGTATGTGGATTTAGTGGGTTAGGTTTAGTGGAGTAGGTTTAAGTGGGTGAAGTAGGTGGAGAGTATGTGGATTTAGTGGGTTAGGTTTAGTGGAGTAGGTGAGGTGGTAGTGGTGTAGTGGGTTAGGTTTAGTGGAGTAGGTTTAAGTGGGTGAAGTAGGTGGAGAGTAGGTGGATTTTAACACTTTTTCAGATAGTTCACATTGTGGCATCAAGTATATTATTTGGTGATATTCTTTTGTGTTAAAGTTGTTTGCAAGTGTAATTTTATTGATCTCCTAAAATTGAAGTGTAGTGGCCAGGGTCGCATGATTCTATAATCCATATAAAACTGAATTGCTAAGGTCATGTCCACATGTCCAGACATACACACCTACACACCCATGGGGCAAGAACCACAACCAAAAACACAAACAATAATGCTCAATCCATAGTATTTGAGCCATAGAACTTCAGAGAATATATATATATATATATATCTGTCCCAAACCCCATCCAACGGGGACTAAACTGAGCACTTTTTTTTAATATTTTTTTCTCCCGATGTTAAACTTCGTATGATGCAAAATGTGTGTTTCTAAGACAGTTGTACTCATTAATATGCACTTCCGCCACATAAGCTCCTATTATTTTTGCCCAAAAAAATAGTAACTATTAGAGGTCGTGACCTGGCATGATGACAAGTGCTATCTGCTCCCAGCCTTGCACATGGGTTTGAGTCATAGGAATCAGACTCTCCACAAAAAAAGTGGAGGTAAGGCTGCCTACCTACTACCTCTCCTAGAAACTGTTGTGCACTGGAGACATGTGCACTGGGTACGACCATATGACCTTTAAATGAAAAGTACGATATATCATATATGGCCTCAAGACAGTTGTGCTCATTAATATGCACTTCCGCCACATAAGCTCCTATTATTTTTCCCAAAAAAATAGTAACTATTAGAGGTCGTGACTTGGCATGATGACAAGTGCTATCTGCTTGTAGCATTGCACGCGGGTTTGAGTCATAGGAATCAGCCTCTCCACAAAAAAAGTGGAGGTAAGGCTGCCTACCTACTACCTCTCCTAGAAACTGTTGTAAGCTGGAGACGTGTGCACTGGGAACGACCATATGACCTTTAAATAAAAAGTACGATATATCATATATGGCCTCAAGATCTAAACCTCCATGGAATTGACCAACCATGTCATAACCATGGAGTTTTCAGCGTCCCAATTGTCGAACAGCGGATCATTAACAGCATGAGCCTTCTTGTCTCCAGTGATGTAACCGATCTTTCCTTGCCCACGGATATACATCCGGACAGATTGTGACCAGCGGAGAAAATTATCACCATTTAGGCGGATGGTGGTGATTTGGACAGAGTGAGAGTTTGACGTTTTCACCGGAATGGCAGCGGCAGGGGTTGAAGTGGTTTCGGACGTGACTTCCGACATGGCTATGACGGTTTTAGGGCTGCTGTGTTTTTTGTAGCTCTGATACCAACTTAGAAAATATGAGGAAGAAGAACTCCGAAAATATGAGGAAGAAGGAATATATTTATGCATACATCACATCTGATTCTGAGGCAATCTCACTTCCATTTGCATTGTAAAGCACATGGGTACCGGTGTTCAGGCGATCGCCGGTAATTCACGGACACCACGACGGCCTTGCAAAGGCCGACAAGGCGGCGGCAGAAGATGTCGTAGATGGCGGTGTCGGCGGAGGAGTGAGTGAAGCTCCAAATTGAGATTCATTTTCCGGTGATGGCCTGTAAATACGGTTGAGAAGGCCGACTGATCGATCGATGATCACGTCGAAAGAGTATACGCCGGCGACTGGGATTGCATTGGCGGCGACTTTCCGGTCGAGAAACTCCGCCAGGTCACGGTTGATTATGCCGTCGGCACGGCGGAGCATGCTGTATCTTCAGATCTAGGCGCGTGTTGGGTCAGATCTGGGCTGATCGAAGCTTTCTCTTGTCGCCTTTGTCTCAGTGCTCGAGCACTGAGTTGACTCACACGTTCTGATCTTCGATTGTGCTCGGACGAATTCGTATCAGCTTTTGCGGATGGTTTGAGGAATTCTTGAGGTGTTGGTGCTGTTGAATCATGGGCAGTAGTGAGATAGATAAACCTGCAAAGGTGCCAAAGGAGGCGAAGGAGTCTAAGACGCCTACTACGCAGGAACAGTCTTCATCTACACCCACTGGCACAGCTGCTCCAGACTGGTCTGGTGTTCAGGCATATTCTCCTATGCCTCCACACGGGTTCTTGGCATCAATCCCTCAAGCCTTTTGCTATTCCTTCCCCTAATGGCATTGCTGAGGCTTCTGGGAACACGCCTGGTAAAACCTCAGGAGGATTTGCTAATGGAGTCTATTCCAAAAGTGATGACAGTGGGAGTGAAGGTTCAAGTGAAGAAGAGTGAAGGTATGTGTAGAAAATTCTAGTGGACTAGGTGGAGGCACCGGAATCTATGATCCACGGAGAGAAGTTGTTTAGTGGAGTAGGTGAGGTGGTAGTGGTGTAGTGGGTTAGGTTTAGTGGAGTAGGTGAGGTGGTAGTGGTGTAGTGGGTTAGGTTTAGTGGAGTAGGTGAGGTGGTAGTGGTGTAGTGGGTTAGGTTTAGTGGAGTAGGTGAGGTGGTAGTGGTGTAGTGGGTTAGGTTTAGTGGAGTAGGTGAGGTGGTAGTGGTGTAGTGGGTTAGGTTTAGTGGAGTAGGTGAGGTGGCATTGTTGCATTGAAGTTTGCTACTTTTTGGTAAAAGGAGATGTTGTATTAATATTGTATGCCCATCAGAATTAAATAGCATAAACTCCAGATCGATGGGTTCTAAGTTATTATTTTACTGACGCTCCTGTTCTCTGGCCTGTTTTGTTTCTTTGTTTTAATCTTCTTCTTCTTCTTCTGTTAAGTTCTTTGATCTAATTTTCATTGTGTTGTCACTTCCATTTTGACCATTGCTCGCTGAGTTCTTATGCATTATGCTTGGTCCCTTTCCTATTTGTTTCTAGGCAACTGATGTCTTTTCTATTTTTTATTTCTTTATTTTTCGTTCCACTTTTATCTTCAATTGTGATTGTGTTAGATTTGTTAATTATACATGGGAGCAGCACCAAGTTCGGCGGTAGATCTATTTGAAGTTGTTCAAGTAAGCAACTAGCAAGGAGAGTGGCCACTAGTAGTAGATTGTGACAAAGTGACTTTGTCACCTGGTTTCAGCATTCTGAGTTTTTAATTTAACTCTGGATGATGTAAAATTAATTATTTTAGAACGCTACAAGATGATGCTACAAATCAGATGCCTTGATATTTCATGTTTATTAATCAGAATTTTGATCTAACAACAATATGTTGCTGGGTCCAACATATTTTGTTCTATACGATTGTGGTCAGATGATCAGTAGTTTCCTTCATGTAGGAGGAACCAAGCTCATGTTTGGGAAGAGTAGTTTTCTAAGGAATGCAATTAACGTTGTCAATTAATAATAACAATACTGATATTCACATCAAATATTATTCAGTGATAAACAGTGTTTTGGACAGGGGGGTATCAGTGGTTGAGATTCAAGACTGTAACCATGCTTCAATCTTTTTTGGGTAAATCATAAACACACTCCCTGAGGTTTATCAAAAATATAGATAGCTTGCCCCCTCTGGTATTAATTTACCAATCTTTTTTTTTCCTTCTTCCTTTTTTTGAATTTTTTTATTCCCAAGAACTAGGCTTTATATAGTGCCATAGTGGTGAAAACCATGTGTTAGTCTCACATTCTCAAAAATATAATGGAGCTCCTAGGTGCACAAACTCTGAATCCACCAAGGTTCTCAACCATTGGAACTTTGGAAAAATAATATATATACGTATTTTTTTGACTGGTAGTGGGGTGTCTGGATCATCCCTAGGGTGTACAGGCCCTTGGCAAGGAGCTTCTCGCAAGTGCACCATGGTTAATTCAAGGGTTTTCCTCTAGTCTGATGGCCCCAAGTAATTGTTAGCACCTAAGAGGTTTCGATCCCTGAACCTTGGAGGGAGCACACCCCCATGACCCAAGGCCTTGCCACCAGGTTAACCCCTTAGGTTTACTTTGGAAAAATAATTTACAAGAGAAAAGCAGGAAATGAGCGGAGAAAATATCATTAAAGATTCTTCTATAGTTGTGGCAACATGAACCAGATAATGTAGTTATTTAGCATGCCCCTCCTGCATGGTGTGCTTGTTTGTAGAATTTATCCTCGCCGTCTCTCTCTCTCTCTCATTGAATACTAGTTGCTATCTTAGTTGTTTTTTGTGATTGAATTGAAGGAAGAAATTATTTTTGCAGCAATGAAGCGACTCGAAGACTTGGGTGCCTCGTCTTTTATTCTTGATCTTAGAGATAATCTGGGTGGACTAGTTCAGGTTTGTTTGATATCTTTCATTCTCCATTTGTCAATGTATATATATATCCAAGTTGGACACTTTTATTATTTCATCTATTGCAGAAGGTTAAATTCATGATTCCAAAGAAAAATTGTCTTTGTTATATTGGTTACCATCAGTGCAATTTTAATGGATAACAGATAATTTGAATTGATTTCTTTGAGCATTGTAATTTTCTTTCTTTATTTCTTCTCCTTTGTTCTCATTGAGCTGTGATTAGGTTTTATTTTATGTTATTTCTTGGACGTAATTTTTAGTTGCTCTTGTTATCCTTGAATCAGGAGTTATACCCATTCATACCTTTTAGAATAACACTTCCTACCTATATATGTGTTCAAAGTTCATATTTATCATAAAAAAAGAAAAGAAAAAAAGAAGAGGAATGAAAAAAACCGTTTGGAGTTGAGGAGAAAAAGCTATTTGTGTATCTTCTAAGCAAAGGAAAAATTGATTTGCTTCACTAGTTAGCTGATTTTTTTCCCTACTAATTTTCAAATGCTTTTAAACTATGTTTTTAATTTTTTCAGTTCTGTCCAGGGAGTTTAATGTGAATGAGTGTTTAAAAATTGTAAATTTGATTGCTTTGCTTATTTCAGGCTGGGATTGAAATTGCTAAGCTCTTTCTAAACCAGGGGGAGACGGTATGTGAATCTAATCAATCATTGTCATTGAAATTGTAAAATCCATATTTTATTAAATCTCCCTCCATCCCTCTCATGAGAGTTCTTAATTCTTTTGTGTGCTGGCATTTGTCCATTGATGTTATCATCAATTCCAAAATTGCTGGTTGTTTGTCATTGATTTAAAATGAATCTCATGACATAATAAATGATCATATGTTTCTTTATTTTGAGATGATCCAATATTACGGGTTTCTCATATATATACTTATATCTAGAAACTTGAGGTGCTTTCTTATGGTTGTGGTCTTCTGGGCAGGTGATCTATACCGTTGGAAGGGATCCCCAGTACCAAAAAAACATTATTGCAGAAACTGTACCTCTAATTACAGCTCCTGTCATTGTATGTATGCCTTCCTAATAACTACCTATACTTCTATTGGGTTTTTGAAGTGAATTTATATGTATGATTTGCACTGTGGAAATTTATGGAATTCTCTCAAGTCAGTAGCGTGACTGTCAATTTAGAACCAACTTGTCGACTATAAACAGGGATTTGGACACAAATGATTTTTGGCATAGCCTGTGAACTATAGAAGATTGTGAACTTTCTAAAGCTGGGATGCGGAATGCAGTACAATATGGATTGCTATTGTTCATCCTTCATGCAGAAAACCTTAAGGTTGTGATTGGATCATGGATTCGGAGAGGAAATTTTCTATGGAAAAGGAAAATTGGAGGGAAAAATAAATGAAATTGAAGTTAATTTTCTACTCACTTCTCTTCTCTTTTCCTTTCCTCTGCAAATCTCTCCTCAAATCCATGATCCAAACACAACATAACTGCTTAAATGGCCTTGCTGAATTATTGGGTTTGTTGAATTTCTGACTGGGTAGAAGTGAGCAGAACAAAGTATTGAATGATCCAATCTTGGTTCATCAAACTTAGGTTCTATTGAAACTTGTCTTGTCAATTACGTAAAAACTCATGTTAAAAAAAAAAAAAATTTCTTAAAAACTCAACCTTAGCTCTGGTAGGTTTTCTTGACCTACTGACAATCCTCAAACTTGAGTTGGGGACCCGGGGTTCCCTAAAAGATATATTTCACATTATCATGAATGAAGAAGGTGGAAATGGAATACAAAACTTACAAATACTTAAAAATGGTCAGACTGATACCAATTTTGTGAACATTTTTGGGTTGGATGGTTTTTTTCAGTTTACTTTTTAAACTACTTTTGATTGCAAAGAGAAGTTTGTGGTTGTTTAATTCTTGAATGTCCTATACTTAATTATATGGCTAACCACTTATTTGTTATTTCCGATGCAGGTTTTGGTGAACAAAAATACTGCTAGCGCGAGTGAAATAGTGAGCAGCTGAGATTTCCAATTTCGTGTGATTTGTAGTATAATCGTAAATGCCATGTTGTGACCGTTCGTTCTCATTGCAGGTTGCCAGTGCACTCCATGATAACTGTAGAGCTGTTCTTGTGGGCGAAAGGACTTTTGGCAAGGTCTGAATATATAGTCTCATGGTTGCTAAAATTTAGATTAATTTGCTGGTCAGATTGTGTTCTCTCTTTTAGAATCTGCATATCATGTGATTGACCTGTTACCTAAGGAGCACAGACACAGATATGAGTATGGACACTGACACAAGACAACTATATTAAAAAAATATTAAAAAATTAGTATATGGACACGGGATACTGTAAAAATATAAAATTTTATTTACCATGTGTATGTGTTTTCCCTTATTGTTTCTATATATTTTACTTTGACCTGAACCAGTTTTTTATTTTTTATTTTTTTTTTAAATTTAAAAAAAAAACAACCTACAATGGTGCCCTGGGGTTTGTCCAAAACGCTGGATATGTATCCTACAAACAAATAATAATTAAAAAAATTGACGCGCCAATTGGCTTGTTGGACATATGGACATGCATGTTTCTGTTGTGTCTTTGTTCGACATGGCACCCATCTTGGAATGTTGGTGCTTCTTAGACTGTCACTGTTGTAAAACTTAAATTTTTTTTCAATCGTTTCCAAATGACTTCTTCAATATCAACTTCATGTTCAAGACTGGTTAATATACCAAGAGATAGCTTTTTGAGGTTGGAATATAAATTAAATAAAAAAATTCCTTGCTTGGGCCATTTTCTCTGCCCATCTTTAAGCTTAGTGGTTGCAAATTTCTCATGTACTTTTTCTTTAAAAAAAAATCGTCTTCAATTTGTTTTCAAGTGTTGAATGATTCTATGTTCCCACATTTATCGCATTATGAAAGTTCTTGGTGATTAGACAATCCTGATTCCTGATTGAATAATGTTCTTGATGATTAGACAATATTCCTGATTCCTGATTGAAGCCGTGCTGATTGTTGAGTGTATTTTTAACAGGGCCTGATTCAATCTGTATTTGAACTGCACGATGGATCTGGTGTGGTTGTCACAATTGGGAAATACGTCACACCGAACCACATGGACATAAATGGCAATGGAATTGAGCCTGATTTTCAGAATTTTCCAGGTAACAAATCTTTACTTTTCTCAGGAAAATGGAAATAGGCTCTGAAATCGTAAAATAATCTAGATATGTAACTCCTATTTGCAGCTTGGAGTGAGGTCATGAAACATCTATCGACTTGCCATACACTTAAACAAGGATAAAAAAAACAGGTCTCTCTCTCTCTCTCTCTATCGGTGTTTGGGCCTATCTTGATCATGTTTACATGATGTAGCTACTTCCTTGCCATTTGCTGTGATTTTCTCAGGATTCAAGGCCTTGAAACGGTTGTATGAATTGTTTGGCTTGCACATTTGGTTCTACATTTGAATTGACATAAATTCCCATGATGACCGCTAGTAAATATATATATGCAGTCTTCCAGAATCTTCTTATTCGAGGTCATCTGTGAGAAACAATTGATTGAGATTCTGGGGATTTCTCATTACATCAATCAACACCAACCACTTGGGCATTGGGAGATGCTTTTGGTGCAGGGATTGAAGAATTCAACATACAATTCACAGAAATGAACAAAAAAAATTCCATACATTCAAGCTGGAAGAAGGCCCTCTAGGAGGTATATTTTTGATGTATTATTCGTTGTCGATAGCATATCTGTTGCTGTATTGATAGAAAATGTTTTATCTACCAACATTATCTGGTTGAAAAAAGAAAAAAGAAAAAAGAAAAAGTGTGGACAGGCTTATCTGGAAAATTGTCAAGGGCCCCTAGAGCTTTCATTGTGGGAGAAACCTTTTTTTTCTTTTTTTTTTCCTTGATGAAAAATTGGGGGTGCATGTGGAGTGATGCTTCTCGTAAGAATTTCTCGCTATTTAGATTACCTCCATCCCAAATTATTTGTTCATTTTCACTATTCTAGTCATTTAAAAAAATTGTTTATATTTATATATTTTTTTAATGATTTTAAAGATTTTATCTATAAGACATAATTGTAATCTTTTAAATTGTGAAAAAAATAAATTTTTAATGAAAATACATTATTCATTGATCCAATTAAAGGGCGTGGGATGTCGAAAATGGATAAACAATTTGAGATGGAAGATGTTTTAGTTAGCCTAGTTTCTTTCAGCTATGTTTGGACTTTTTTTTTTTTGGATTTGCAGAGGGAAATGAAAATGAAAGAATTTTTTTTTAAAAAGAAAATGAAGTAAAAGAAATTAAATTTATTTCTTTTATTTTATTTTCATTTTTGAATAAATTTAAGATCCAAATTTTGAAACATATAAAGAAAGTAACTAAAGATGGGGATGTATTGTCATTGCCACGGTAGCACCGCAGACACCTTCAATTTCACATCATGAAAGTAACCAAAGGAGATGGGTTTAATTCTATTGACTTGGACAAATCACAACCCAAAAACTGTTTTTTTTTTTGTTTTTTAACTTCTCTCTCCACAAATTCAAGTTTAAATATAACCTAAGTAGATTGCCATTGCCATGGTAGCAAGTTGAGGCCAATTGTCAGGTATTAAGGCTAAATTTGGCATTTTAAAAAAAAATTAAAAAGTCAAAAAGTTACTATCTTATTTAAGTTATATTATTTTATTTAAGTCGTGTCACTTCTCTACTACATCATTTTAAATTCAATTTATATTTTATAAAAAGTCAAAAAGTGTCCCTATTTAGAATATCTCAAACAATTCCTTAGCCTTTGCTTGGCAACGACAAAAAATCTATTTTATTTTTGAATTTTCGTCTTCATTAAAATTTTAAAAGATTTGTATCAAGATTTTTTACTTTTCAAGTCTACGAAGTCCAGAAATTTTTTAACAATATTTGCTTTAAGAGCACTAAATAATTATAATTGGAAAACTGATCGAAAAATCTTATTAGAAATATGGGTGCATCAATAAGCCCTCTTAACTCTTTGGTATATCAAAAGTCATGATCACTTAATTCTTACTAGGATATCGCCCATGCTATGTACGAGTTGTGTTTTATCACTTTGTCTTTTTTTTTTCTTTTTTTATATTTTATTAAAAATTCATATTTTGATATTAATCATATGTGTTGGACTTTTCAATGAATTTTTTTCATTCTTGTTCTTAGTGCATTAAAATCTTATTATGAGGGATAATAATCATATATTGAATTTTTCAAAGAATTCATATGTACTTCACAATTATTTTTATATATGTGAATTGTGATTTTTAAATGTCTTTTTTTATATATATTATATTAAAGTGTAATATTTTGATAATAATCATATGTGTTGGACTTTCAAGAAATTCATATGTATTGGACTTTTCAAGGAATTTTTTTTTTTATGATTGTTCTTAATGTATTAAAGTGTTATTATGAGGGATAATAATCGTGTGTGTTGGGACTTTTCAAGGAATTCATATGTGTTGGACTTTTCAAAGATTTTTTTTAATACTTGGGGGTTGGGAGAAGTTAATAAATGCTAAGGTTTTTTTTTTTTATTTCTTAAATAAAAAATCAGGAAATTTAGATTGGGATATCGGAGCTCCCACAAAATTTGGGGGTTAAAAACTCTCTTTTTCTTAATATATATAGATAGATAGATAGATATATCTTTTTATTTTTATTTTTATTTTTGTGTGGTTTCTATTCGGGTTTTTTTTTTTTCAATTTATTTAAGATGGAGTTGTGGGTATCTTTTTTTTTTTAAATTTAATTTATCTGTGATTCTCATTTGTTTTTTATTATTATTATTTAGGTAAGTTATGATGTGAGTTAGATATGTGATAGACATGTGAGTTTTATTGATTTAAAGTTTATTTAGATAAACTTTAAAGATTTTTTTTTAGTTTTTTAGTTTTATTTGTTATGTTATAATATAATATATAAAATATAGGTAGATATCTACAACTTTAACAAAAAATATTATCTGATTTTTTGGGGAAGAGAAAAGGAATGCAAGTTTTAATATTTTTTTTGAAAATTTGTGAGAGAGATTAGTTGGGAGAGATTATGAAATATTTTTGTTATTAAATAAATAAATCAGTCAATAGTTTTTTTTAATCCATTTTTTAAATTAAAAATCAATAATTTTGGAAAATTGATTAATTTTTCCCATTAAGTGATTTAAAATTTTGATAGATATACATAAAAAAAAATACATAGTTATATTATTAAATCATAATTCAAATCTAGATGTTATATCTTTTTGAGATTTATAGCTAAATTCTTTTCTTTTTTATTTATTTATTTTTGTGTGTAACCATAGTGTATGCTAGAAATTGAAAAGGGTGTTGCAATAATTATGAGAGAAGTCAAAAGAGATTGTTGGTTGGGAGAAGTCAATAAATGTTGAGGTTTTTTTTTTTTAATCAAAAAATTAGAAAATTAGGATTAGGAGATTGGAGCTCCCACAAGCTTTGGGGTTAAAAACTCCCTTTTGGTTAATATATAGTATAGAGGTTGGGTTGGGAGAAGTCAATAAATGCTGAGGTTTTTTTTTTTTTTTAAATCAAAAAATTAAAAAATTAGGATTAGGAGATTGGAGCTCCCACAGGTTTTGGAGTTAAAAACCCCCTTTTGCTTAATATATAGTAAGCATAGATCACAATTTTTTATTTTTATTTTTTGAATAATGTTTGGGACTCCCTTTTGGGGAGACACTCGCCACCCCTACAGTGATGTAGATCGATGATGTGTTTGTATTTTTTTTTACTCTTTTTACTTGGACCAATCACAAGTAAGTGAGGGTTGTGGGGGTGATGTTTTGTGTGGGTCTGAATGATTACTGTTATTTTTTTTATTTTTTAACAATGTTTTCATAAAAAAATGTCACTAAGGGTGTATTTATTTGGATGGACTAGATAAGGGGATTATAATTCATCATTGGACTATTTGGTTAGACGGGATTTGTATCCTATGTTTGTTTAGTCATGAGATTAGATATCTGGATTGGACTATTTTTAATGAATTCAATGTTTGGTTAGACGGACTGGATAATAATAAATGTTTAAAAGACTATTTTACCCTTGTAATATAATTTTAAATTTGTAATCCATAATTTATAATTTAACAACACTAAAAAATTTTAATTTATAAAGTCATAATTTTTAATTTATTATTTTCAATTAAATTAAATTTATAATTTATATTTTTTATTTAATATATAATTTTAAATTAACAATACTAAAAAAATAATTTATAAATGTTTAAAAGATTATTTTATCCTTTTCCAATTGTTTATTATGTAATAGAATGAGGGTAAAATGGGCATTTCACACATTAGTCCCATGGAATACCAATCCCATGGAAATAATCCCACCCCTCCTCCTAGGATACAATAATCCCTCATATGAGGGATTAAATTGAACCAACCAATGGTTGGACTAATAGTCCAATCTCATAAAATAATCCCTAAACACAAACACACTCTAGCTTCGTTTGGGAAGATAGTTTTAAGGCTTTTTTGGCTAAAATAGCCACAAAAAATAAAATAGTTTTTTAGTTCAATAAGATAAAATATCACATCCAACCTATAATTATTACATTCTTTATCTCACAAAAAAGTCAAAAAAACCAAAAAAACTTAAAGCCCTTCCCAAACCAGATTTTTTAACTCCAGATTAAAATAACCAAAAAAATTAAAAAGCCAACTCACTTCACAAACAACACCATTGTAGTGACAGTTGAAAAATTCATTACAAAAACATCACTAACATTTGTGGCATTTTTTGATTTATACAAACACCGTGGGACTTAATGATATATAAGTTTTTATAACATCACCTGTGAGTAATTACCCATAATTTTTCTTTCTTAATATGTTTTTACTACGCATGCAATATATATATATTTTTTCACTTGAGCCACTCTGTATATACAGTGATATTAGTTCAGTAATTAAAACTCAACCTATCAATCTTAAGCAGCCAATTTGTGCAAATAACATCAAAAAGTTGGATGTGTTTGGTAACGCTTACGTTTTCAGTTTGTATTTACAAAAATTTTATAAACTGATTTTTGTTTATTTTTAAAAAAACATAAACTATAAACGTGTTTGGTAATTGACAAAATGTTTAAAAATATAAAAAAGAGTGAAAAATGACAAGTAGTAGGAAGTGGCAGTGAAAGACGGTAGTGGAAAGTGGTAATGGTGGGTGGTGAGTAGCTGGTGGTGGTGGGTGGATGGGTGGGTGACGGTGGCGGGTGGTCGGTGGTAGCGAGTGGGTGGTGGGGGTGGTGGTAGCGGGTGGTGGGCGATGGTGGCAGGTGGGTGGCGGATGGTGGGTGTAGTACATGAATTCTTGAACATATTGAATTATTGTTTTCAGCAAGCTTACCACATCAAAAAGTGCAGCTAACACCTTTTTTCTTTGTTCTTTTGTATCAACAACATGTTAGTATTTAATATTGATGGGTTTCAAGATTCATCATTAATCAAAGCTTTTCGAACTTAGAAACCCAACCCAATTAAAGATAATCTG